TATGTCTCCGAGTACTTCTCCCAGAGTGCACAGAAGCTCTCCTTCTACAGCTGGTATGGGAACGCCAAGCTCTTCCACTTCCACGTGCCAGAGGACACCGTGCTGCTGCGCTGGCTCCTGCAGGCATCCCGGGGGAAGGGCCCCGAGTGCACCAGCATGGAGATCACTGTGTACGTATGTCCCCAGGCCAGGCCTTGTCCTTGTGGGCTTCTTGTCCCCTTGTCCTGGTCACTCGTGGCTGGGGCTGGTTGGTTGTGGAGGTTGGGCAGTTCCTCAGCAGCAGGAGCTGTAGTTTCTTTATACAGCAGCACTAAGTTGGTGTTTAAACCTGTAGGAGTGTTTTGTGTTCATCTTACCAGCGGATCTGGGGCTGCCTGTCAGGTGTGGTGTCCAAGAGACCCCTTAGGACACTGGAGAGAGCTTCACAGTGAGGCAGATGTGCTGCTCAGAGGTGCTCCTGGCCTGGCAGAGCCTGCACACGGTGCCAAACGATGTGGCAGCACTACAAGGGACCTGAGCAGAGCCAGACTGGCTGGAGATGGGCAAAAACTGCCCAGTGCAGAACTGAGGAGATTTGGGGACACTTTGTGAGGGGCATGGCCAAGCGTGGAGCAGAGATAGGAGAGGAATGTGCTGTCCTGTGGGCACAGGAGCACAAGAAGATGGCAAACTCAATGTCAATTAGAGAAATGCTTTTAAAACAGTACTTGACTTGCTGAAGGATTTGAGATCCAAAACTTGTCAGATTTTGAGCTTTATCTTTGGAGAACACCAAGCTTCCTCAGCAGGTTGTGCCCATGGAGTCACACGGGTCTCTGGCACCCATTCCACAGAGATCTGGGAGTGACTGAAGCTGCTTGGCTTGTGCCTTCCTGGTCTGTCCTGGGGAGACTGGCACTCTTAGTTGCTCCTGAGCAGCCTGTCACAGATGATCTGCCTGCTTTCTCCTTCCCAGAAAGGTTTCCAGTAGTCTGAGGACATGAGGGACAAGGCAGCAGCTAAACAATAATCCAAGAAATGATGGCTAACCCAGATAAGCTCCAAGGGCTGAGAACATATCACCTGTCATGTCTGCTTGCTGGACCTGTTGCAGTGCAGTCCAAAAGCAATCAAATTAAATGCCAAATTGACTGAGTAAATATCTCCCACGTTCCTCGGCTGTGTGTGTTTCTGCTACTTCAAATGCTGGGCTTATCTAGAAAGCAGAAGTGCTGCTGTTCTGAAGTCTGTAATATGGGCCTTCCTTGGAAAGTGTCTTTTTAGTCTGTATGTTTGCCTTCCTTAAAAGAGGAAATGGGAAGATGCAGATCTTAGCTAGAAAATTAAAGTTCTTTGTGGATTATTTTCCCTATATGGGAATTTGATGATGGTTATAAGGCAGTAGTCTGTGGGTGGAGCTTAGCCTTAGCAAGTGTTGGAAATTTGCTCCCAGGCTTGATGGAACCATGTAGATCTTAATAAGCTGCCAAGTTAAACCAATCTCTAAATAAATCCCAGATAAGCTAATAGCAGCCAGTCCTCACCAGGTGAAAATGATGACTCCACTTGAAAATGTGGGGTTTTCCAGCCTGCTCCCGTTGCCATCCCAGGCCGGTTTGTACCCCAGTTTATCTTGGCGGTGTCTGTACCTCCCTGAGTTTGCTCTCGCCGTGGTTTCTCTCGCAGGCACTTTCGGCACGGAGCCCCTCCCGTCATTAACCCTTTGGGCACTCGCTTTCCTGCCAACGCCACCGTCCGTCCCTCCTACAACATCAGCATCACCCTGAGCAGTGCCGTGCAAAACACCACCTTCGTGAACGTCAGCAGCCCCGCTGCCGGGGACTGGTTCATCGCTGCCCACCTGCCCGAGGCTGCGGGCAGGATCGAGGTGAAGGTGAGGGGCCTGCCCAGCGCCTGCCCCGCCCGTCTCATGGCAGCCACAGCTGACCCCTGTGCTCTCCCCTCCTGCAGGGTTTCTCCACTCCATGCCCCTATATGTTCCAGGCAGATATGTTTGTGCTCAGACTCACTGATATGCCTGTCCTGGAGCCTGGTGTCCCCATGCCACACACCGTTGTCTCGCCTGCTAAGCCACTGCATGTCAAGTGAGTGGGAGCAGTGGGTGGGCGACCGAGGGCACGGTGGGGTGGGACTTCCCACTTCCCTAAGCTGCTTAGGGGAAGCCAGTGTTGTTCCCACGTGGGGCTGGAGCTGGGGGGTCTCTGAGCTCCCTGCAGCAGTGGCAGGGTCTGCACGGGGAGCACACGAGCACCCTTCTCTGACTCTTCCCAGGTGGTCATAGATTCAACTGCAGGAGTTTTAGTGCTTCCAGATGTTTGCCTTGAGAAGGATTTTCACAGCACCAACCAGGGCAGTCTAGCTCTTGTCACAAAGCCCTGGGGACCTGGCTTGTGTTGGGAGTACAAGCTCTGCAAACTGCTGCTCCCTCCCCCTGCAGGGTCTTCGTTCCCAAGCACGCGGCGGGGATGCGGTTCCAGCTGAGCAGCTGCGTCACCAGCGAGCAGAGAGCCTGCACTGTGCGGGTGCTGCTGGGCTCCATCACCCTGCCCCAGTCCTTCCAGAGGAGCCTCACCTGCACCGGGAGCACCAACTGCAGCCTGGCCCTGGAGTCGCCCCCCTGGGAGAAGTGGCTGCAGATCATGGTGGAGAGTCTCGGCACTGCCAATGCCAGCGTGTCGGTGGAGATGCTGGCTTCTTTCACAGGTGGGATTCCGTGTTCTTTAGCAGTGGGGGAAGGACCAGAGGGAGCTCTGTGTGTGCTGTGCCACCCTGGGTCTTTGGGTGCCTGGCGGTGGTGGCCCATGCTCCCCATTATGCTGGTTGCCACCTCTTGGATGCCCTAGTTCTTGCTTTGGGGACAAATTTGAAAGCTCCAGTGTTCACCCCAGAGAGACTTTTGCTAGAGCTGCCCATTTGGAAACACCTGAGAAGTTCAGTGTTATTTTTCTAAAGGTTGTTTGGGAAGCAGTGGCTGGCTTAAAATTTGGTGGGGAAAATAGTTTTCTGTGGTACACCAGACTGAGGCTGTGTTGACTACTAATTGGCCAAGAGTGGGTAACAGGCAGGAAACCACCTCGCAGAGGTTTACTTGGGAAATGTCTGGAGTTGTTGTGAGGGGGTGTCACCATTTCCAGTGACTGTGTGGCTCAGGTGGTCACAAGGTCCTTGTGGCTGTGATAGGCACCTTTGCACCTATTACGTGCCTGTAATCCCTGTTTGACTGCTGGAAGCTCATGAACTATATACATTTTTAAAGTTTTCTTCTGCTGGGGGTTCTGCCACCTCCTCTTCTAAGCAGAGCCTCATCCTGTGTGCTGGAAGACCTGGCACTGGCAGCAGAGGTGTCAGAGGGTAGCACTGGAGTCTCTGGGAGCAATGGACAGTCTCCAGCAGTGGGCCTCCAAGTGTCCCATTCTGCTCCATCTGCCACAGTGTGCCCAGCTCCACTGGGCTGGCTTCTCCCTCCTGCTCAGCTTTGTTTGCTCATATATGGGGAGCTGGGAGAGGCTTCTGTGCAGCTTTGTGGCTGTGGGACAGCTGAGTGCTGAGCTCTGCTGGTGGTGAGCGAGCACTCCCTGGGCACCTTGGTGGTGCTGTGTTATCCCTTGTTCTGTTCCCCCTTCCCTGCAGCTCCAGGGTGCTCCCACCCACTGTGCCACTGCCTGGCTCCCAGCAGTGTCCCAGCTTGTGGATGCTCCTCCTGCAAAGATGGCACCTCAGGGACAGTTCCTGCAGGACATGAACCACCTGAAACCCCCCAGTTTGTGCTGCCCCTTGGAGCACTGCATCTGTGACATTTCTCCCCTCTCAGCCCCTAAATTATCAGGCTAGCCCAGAGATGCGAGACCTTGAGGGGAAGAAGATCAGGAGATGGGCAAAGATTCCAAAAGAGGCTGAGGATGTGGTTTTCCAGCTCTTTATTCTGTGATGTCCAGGGGAAAGAGAGGGGCAAAGAGAGAGAACAGGAAGGGTCAGGGGTTTATCCAGGCTTTGGATAAGGAGGGTTTCTCTGGCTCTCCGCCAACCCCATTGGGGCAGGAAGGAGGAGACCAGGCTTATCTGATCAGAGTCACAGGGGCCCCGGGGAAAGGGGGGAAAACATGGCCTGAGTGCACTGTAACACATCTGCTGGGACCCTGCCTGGGTGAGGTGCTAGACCTGGCTGTGCTGATTCCTCTCCTTTTTGGCTCTAGTTTGCAGGCCAGGAAGCGCCAGTTCCTTCCTTAACTTCATCAGCCTAAACCAGAGCCAGGCTGGTGCCAGACCAGGAGCAGCAGGCAGCTCTGCTCCAGCTTCAGGAGAGGCTCCAGGAAATGTGTCCGGCCAGAGGAGCTCCTGCCTGCAGAGCCAGCCCGTGGTGAGGGAGGACCTGGACGTGGTGTCCGTGCGCTACCGGCTCCTGAACGGCCCCGGCGTGCCCGTGACCTCCCTGTCCCCCACCCTGCTCCAGCTCAACCTGAACACGGGCATGGACAGTGGGGGATCCCTCGTGGTCAGTCTGCTG